TAAATAGAAACACATAGGAAATACTATTTGTACTAATTAACCAACATATAAATTCAACAATGCTTCAAGTACCCTGCATCGAAACTATGTGGAACCAAGAACAAGGAGTATGTTAAAAAAAAAAAAAAAAATAGATGCTCCAAGTTAGTGATTCTCTACGACTACAGGATGGTGTGGGGGCGGGGGTGGGATCAAAATCACCTGGAGCAATTTTCGCAGCCCAGGAATCTATTTCCCTCACCTCCAACACCCAGTTCTGATAGTACCTACACTCAGGGAGGGAAAGGCTAGCTTCTGGGAGGAGACGACTGGGGGCAAGTAATTTGAAAACATTTGTCAGGGAATTCTGAGAACCAGCAATATATTCTATGCCCTATCTAGTTACAACTACGGTCCCGAGGGATGAGTTAGATGGTGTAGATGGTGTCCATTTCTGTGCCCGAATAGAAAAGACTGAGGGAAGTACAGGCAGGGAAGGACAGTGTGCCATAATGAGCAAATCAGGATCTGGTGGTAAAAAGCTTACCAGCAAAGGGCCAGGCGAAACAACAATAACAAAAATGTTTAAATAAAAAGGTATATAAAGTCAAAAGGCACAACAGCCCGAACTGTTAGCCAGGGGGTGGGTCATCTCGGAGATTTCCACAGCTCAGGGAGCATCACTGTGCTCCAGGATAATGCAGTCACCAATACCACGGTTCTGAAATTAAACTATTTAAGAGAAAGCGTTCAAGTCAAATATTTTTTAATGGATTTCTTTCTAAAATGGCTAGATTCTCTGACTGGATCAAGAGTCACTGTTCTACTTATGTAAAAATGATGCACGAGGGGCACCTGGGTGGCTCAGTCGGTTAAGCATCTGCATTCGACTCAGGTCATGATCTTGGGGTCCTGGGATTCAGCCCTGCAGCAGGCTCCAAGCTCAGCAGGGAGTCTGCTTCTCCCTCTCCCTCTGCCCCTCCCCCCTGCCTGTGCTTAACTCTCTCTCACTCTCTCAAATAAATAAAATCTTTTAAAAAATTATAAAATGATGCATGAAAAGCAACATGGTTTAGCAGGGAAATAGAGCACGAGTTCCAGAGTCAGCAGATGTAGGTTCCGGTGCTCAGGACGTTTTGTAGTGTCCAGCACAGGGAATGTGGCTGAAATAGGTGAGGACAGGGAGAGTACACAGAGTTTGAGGAGAAATTTGAGAGTTGCTGGGACAGGACCTGAGGACCACCAACACTTCAGGGATGATAGAGGAGGTAGAGGAGCTCGCAAACAAGACACAGGGATGCAGGAGTAATCAGAAACATGGAAGAAAACCTGAAGAATTTAGGGTCACGGACAGCATGACAAGAGAGTGTTTCCAGAAGGAGGACAGTGCACTGTGTCAAATGCTGAATGGTAAAGCTAAACAAACAACTGAAGAATATTCCCTGGACACAGGAAAATAAGAGGTCATTAGCATCTTGGTTAGTAGAGATTCAAGAGAAACAAATACATATGACTCTTTTAAGAACTTTAGCCACGAAGGGAAGAACAGAAAGGGAGACTTAGCTGGGGATGAGGGGGAATGTTGGCATGTGAGTTTTTTTTAAATGGAGAAGAAAAGCTTACATATGTTTAGATGCTGATGGGAATGAGCTAGTAGAGACAAAGACTAAAGGCACAGCAGAAAAAAAACGGCCGACAAATGGAGTAAGGCCTCCGAAAATGAGGGAGGAAATGGGAGCCACCACACAGCGGAGGGACTGGACTGAGGAGAAAGGAAGGAACAAAGGAAGGCAGACCCTGCTGCAAGGACCCTGAGGGAGTTCCTGTCTAATGGTGTCTTTTCTCTGAGAAATAGTACCTAGGTCTTCTGCTAAGAGGGAATGGGCCTCAAGGTGAACAGAAGAATTAGAAGCTTGAGGAGAGCAGAGATTTTCAACTGTCACCAGGGAGAATTCAAGAGGAGTACAAGCCCCCGCTCCAGTCTCCTCTTTGAGTTCACCCCGGAAACTGTGGACTCTGCGGCCATGAGAAATGATTAGGATACACTCTGAATGGCCAGCTTTAAAAATAGGATTCTTTCTTTTGTGCTTCAACCAGTGCCCTACACACCTCAGTGCACAGAGGAGAGGGACCTGGATTTGAATGTGTATTAGCCTGACAGACATTTCTGTCAGCACATTCCAAGAAATCAATTTCAGGCTCATATTTTAGTAAACAGCTAATATGAAAGCATAACACTGAAAAATATAATATGTAATCAAATTGAGGCAAATTAAGACAAAATACTGCAGTGAAAAAAGGCTTCAGTCATTGCAGGTTTCTATTCAGAATTAAATTTCTAGTATTAAATGTTCTTTTTCAATTTGTTTTGGGTCAAGAGGTTATTAACACCATAAAAAAGTTAATAGAAAAGTATGGTCTAGGACAAAGATGTGTTATTATATTTTGCATGAATGCCTGTTATTAGGAAATAATCAGTTCCTAAAAACAACCATTGCTAGTTCATTAAGGGACAGACAATTACATCAAAACCCATCTCCTATTATATTTTATTTCCCAATTAGTATTCTAGAGACAAGAGCACAAGTTATAATAGAAACTACACTTCTATGTCTACAACTGTTTAATAAAAGACATAAAGGGCGGGGCGCCTGGGTGGCTCAGTCGTTAAGCATCTGCCTTCGGCTCAGGTTATGATCCCTGGGTCCTGCGATCGAGCCCCGCATCGGGCTCCCGCCTGGCGGGGCTCGGCAGGAGGCCTGCTTCTCCCCCTCCCCCGTTTGTGTTCCTGCTCTCGCTGTGTCTCTGTCAGATAAATAAAATCTTAAAAAAAAAAAAAAAAAGACATAAAGGGCATATAGTTTTTTTTTTTTATCTAAATCATGTAGTTTATTTCCAAATTTTTTTCAATATTATGCATATTCATTTTTTTCCCTCTTACTCTGGCCTGAAATCCTAACTGAAATCTATAACTAGAAGGAAACAAGAATCAATATATAGGGATAAGGGACATCTATTTAAAGTATGTCTTTTAAGAATGATTGCAATTGGCCAAAGCTCACATGAACCATAAAAAAAAAAGAACAAAAATCAAAAGCACAAAAAGATATTTATGAACAGTCAAGAATTTAAACAGGGTAAGGATTAAAAATGTTGATGAGTATAGTTGGGAGTATGGGGCAATAGGAATGGCTTTAACATTTTTTTCTAGATCATTCAGAACTGTGGTATCAGTGATTGTGATGCTCTTCAAGCTGCTGAAATCTCTGAGGTGACCCACCCCACAGTTAACAGTGCTCTGCCTTTTGACTTCCTATTTCTTTTTATTTAAATATTTGTGTTATTGTTGTTTCACAAGGCCCTTTGCTATTAAGCTTTTTACTGTCAGACCCCTTTGAGCTCCTTATGGCACACTGTCCTTCTGTGCTAGAACTCCCCTCAGTCCTTTCCATCTGGGCACAGAAATGTACACCATCTAACTTACTAAGAATGTACGGGAACGTAGTTAATATTCTAAGCTAAAAGACTGCATTTTCCGGCCTCACTTGCAGCCAAGGTGGCCACGTAACTCAGTCTGAGCCAAGGAGGTAGACGCAAAAATGCTGTGGGAAGTTTTTAGAATAGGACAGCCCTTCTTTCCTGTTATTTGGGAGATGGGTGGAAAGGCGGGAGCATCAGAAGCCACCTTAGACAATGGAGTGCCCTTAAGTATGAGGGTAGAAGCCACACCCTTTAGAAGTGGAAGATCAAAGTAGCATAAGTCACCAAGGACTTTGTGGGACTGCCACAGTACTCCTGAAATACCTACCTCCAGGCTTTATTTTCTTACACAAAGAAAATCCCGGAGTTCCAGGATCGAGCCCCATATCGGGCTCCCTGCTCAGCAGGGAGTCTGTTTCTCCCTCTGCTCCTCACCCTGCTCATGCTCTCTGTCTCTCTCTCACTCTCCGTCTCTCTCTCAAATAAATAAAAATTTTAAAAATAGATATCCATGAAATACTAGCAAGTCCAATATGTAGATTAAGAAAAAATACATTAAGTATAATCCTACTTTTTATTTAAACTTTTAAAAAGGGGTGTCAGTTGCATGTGTATATATGAAGAGAAAAAAGTCTGAGAAGTTGTGCATTATACTGTTATTGAGGTTATTTCTAGTGGACGAGATTATGTAGAACATCTACTTCCTTTATTACTGGTTAGAATTTTTGTTTTTAACAGCGAGCAGGTATAACCTCTGTAATTAGAATAAAATATGCCACGTATTTGATATTCACATATCTAAAGAGATAACATATTATTCTGGCTTTATCTTATGATTTTATTAAAAATTTTTAGTTGGACTACTTTTATAATGATTTTTTCAAAGTAGAAAATTATACTTATTTTAGCTATCAACAATCTCTAATATACAAAATATATTTAAGGCACAGGTCAAATCCATTTTTTTAATATCTAATTATAAAAACAACAACTTGTTATTGAAATGGGTAATGTTTTATCATAATTGGTGTGATAGTAAATCATGAATCTCAAAGGTAAATACAAAATAGTATCCATAGGAATTATGTGTAAGAACAGTAGGAGTGAAAACAGACTTAGCATACTCATTACTAATCCCACATTCTCAAAATCCACAAAGATTAACATTAAAAAAGGGAAGTTTCCTCCACCTATTAAAATAAACTTTGCATAAATGACTTGCCTAGAGTGATTTATGTATTGAGTAATAAAATAGTAGAGAATAGAATAAAAATTAATAACCTACTGCATAGAAATAACCACTCACCTAAGCACTCAAAGGGATCTAAAAAGTTCATGCAGGTGGGCAACTGCTTAGGATTTATGAGGGGAACAAGCCATGAGCAATACCAGCCATGTTTTCTCTGAAATTCACCCTCTAATCTGGTAACTTGTAACCTAGAACAACGACTTCCAAAACATGCTGCCCCTTTTCCAATCCTCACCATTTGATTCATGCAGGTAAAACTTAGTCTCCCTTTTAGGTAAGGACTTGCACATACCTTCCCACTGGCCAGTCAGCACCAAGGTCCTGTTAATCACCACATCGATTTCCGTAGCTCCATCTTCCACAGCCAATCTGATCTCTTCCAATCGT